CTCTGCTGATGACTCACGAATCCAGAAGCAGTTTCAGCTCATGAAAGTGTCCGATTCTGGTTGTGCTTCTCTTCTCAAATCCGTTCTTTGTGCTGTAAGAATCAATTCGTAACAAATCATCTTAGAGTGGTTAATTACTAAAACACAATTCTTTAATTCATTCATTTTTCTAAAACCTCAACTGATCAACTCAGCTAGCCTGCTCTCTGGTTCTGTAATGTATTAAAGTTTTTCACCACTACACCATTTGTAGGAATGCGATAAATTCTCGGCAGAGCTTTACAGAATTAGTTCTGTTCCTAGACAAGTTCCTATGCTATGCAACTCTACAGCCTCTTCAATCTCAAACCAAACCACCCAAGGCACAAAAAGTTTCTGCTCAAAAGTGTGGACAACTTGCCAAAATGCATCCATAACAAACTCGATCTTTGCTCCCTCCTTAAAAGGTCAAGTTCCTGCACCAGTAAAGTCAAACATTACAAAACTGATGGATCTCTGGCAGTCAGAAGCAGATTTCTGCCATGTGTTTGGCGGGCAATCCGTTGATGGGTCTGTTTGCTTTGACGGTGAACCTATCACTGCCCGAAACAACACTATTCCGACAAGTCCTCCAAATGGTCTGTGCCTTGAGAGAATAGGAAATGGAACATACCTAAATATGGCTCCTCATCCGGATGGCTCCAGTCGTGCTTTTTTCTCCAACCAGCAAGGCAAAATTTGGTTAGCCACCATACCCAAGGTTTGTTTTAGTATAATACTATGAAACAATGACAAATATGCTTAGTCGCAAAACTCCATAAAGGGCAGTACTCTCTCTATATATGTGTGTCTATATATATATATATATATATATATATATATATATCTTGCATGATATGAAGGATTACTCTGTGACTTTTAATATGCAGTGACAATAATGGTATGTGGTGATGATGATGTTTAATTTTATATAGCAGTGACCCTGATGAATAGGAACCATGCAGCCATTATTTTGTCCATGAGTTATAGTTTCGGGATATTATAAGAAAAACCCGAAACAATATATTAAAGTGTGTAGTATGAGAAAGCTTAGTGTTTAGCCTGTAGAAACTATGAAATTGTAAGCTAAAAGCCATACACTAAAAAGTAGTAGTTTGTTATTTAACAAGGTTGGCTCTGGAGGATCATTGGAGCTTGATGTAAGCAGTCCGTTTGTTGATCTAAGTGATGAAGTTTACTTTGATACTCAATTTGGATTGATGAGCATTGCATTTCACCCTAAGTTTACACAGAACGGGCGGTTCTTTGCTTCATTCAATTGTGATAAGCAACAGTGGCCTGGATGTGCAGGGAAGTGTGCTTGTAACTCGGATGTCAAATGTGACCCTTCAAAACTGACTCCTGATAGCGGGGCCCAACCATGCCAATATCAAGCTGTAGTGGCCGAATTCACAGCTAATGGCACTACAGGATCCTCTCGTCTTTCTGAGGTATTAATTAATTGGTAAAAAAGCTGTCTTTGTACTTCGTACTTCTCTTGATAATCACAATGATATATGAATACACTTTCTAGGAAAGAAGTGCCAATGCTGGAGAAGTTAGAAGGATATTTACTATGGGCCTTCCGTTTACTGCACATCATGCAGGCCAGATTCTTTTTGGTCCTGCAGATGGATATTTGTACTTCATGATGGGGGATGGTGGAGGTTCTACTTCCTCTGATCCCTACAATTTTTCACAAAACAAAAAGTCACTGCTCGGAAAGATTTTGAGGCTTGATATTGATAACTTCCCAAGTAAGCGAGTCTTACCAACCTCAAGATGATCTGTTTTAACCACATGTCTTAGTGGCAAGTCATCCTGCATTGAATGAATATAAAAATGCAAATATATGATTGCGCTAGTCTTCTTAATAAATTGATCTTTGAGGATGTAACCCCGGTTTTAAATTATCTCATAAGAAAGAAAAAATCACTGTTCATTCAATGCTTTTATGTTTATATGTTCTACCCACTTTCCAGGTGAAAAAGAAGCAAACACGCAACGCCTTTGGGGAAACTACTCTATCCCCAAGGATAACCCTTACACTGAAGATAAAGAACTGCAGCCAGAAATATGGGCCCTAGGATTACAAAATCCATGGCGGTGTAGTTTTGATCATGCAAGGCCATCCTATTTCATCTGTGGCGATGTCGGGAAGGTATCTTTGAAATGCTGCTGATATATATACCTAACCGATTTTCTCAATGAAAATAAATTCTGTGGTTTTAGAATTCATGCTGTTACTCGTTTCTGTGTCTGGTTTCTATCCAATAGGATCACTATGAAGAGGTAGATATAATCACGAAGGGCGGGAACTACGGCTGGCACATGTACGAGGGCCCCTTTCCCTTTTACCCTTCAAAATCACGTAAAGGGAACACATCCACGGAATCCATAAACACAATTTTTCCAGTAATGGGATACAATCACTCTGATGTGAATAAGAATGAAGGGTCTGCATCAATCATAGGCGGCTACTTTTATCGGTCCATGACCGATCCCTGCATGTATGGAAGGTGAGCTTATCCATTAACTGGACTATAGTGATCAATTTTTATTCCCACACTGAAAAAACTCCATCTGTTTCAGATTAAAAAAAGGTTTTGTAAGGTTGACACCTAGGATAAAGTTGACTGTCACCTACTCCGTATTTAAATTCGTATTTATTTAGTGTTAATATTAGTTTATAATTTCTAAAAATGACATCAAATGTTCCATTGAAGCGCAAGAACTGAATTCGAATATGTTAAGATATTACTACTCAAAATCCATAATAAATTAGGAACGATGTTGACACAATGTATTGTGAAATTGCAAAAGAATTTGGCGAAGTGGGAGTGTTCCACATTGCTTCCACTACGACTGCCTAGTTTTCACATTTGGTCATCAATTTTCACTTTCTTCCTCTTGTGCAGTTTTGGTAGATAACTAGTTGCCTACCAAACACCCCTTAAAGTGTTGCAGTTTAATAAGAACGGAAATACTAAGAAGTAACTTCTAAGTCACCTTCTTCGAATAATCTTGAGAGTTGTACCCGAATGGATATGGCAGGTATTTGTTTGCGGATCTTTATGGCAGTGCAATCTGGGCCGGGAGTGAAAATCCAGAGAACAGCGGAGTTTTCAACGCCACGCTGGTTTCTATCGCGTGCTCTCATGATTCACCATTAAATTGCAGCTTTGTTCCAGGAAGCTCCTCACTTCCTGCACTGGGTTACATTTTCTCATTTGGAGAAGATAACAATAGGGATGTTTACATCTTAGCCAGCAGCGGTGTTTACAGGGTTGTTCCGCCCAGCAGGTGCAAGTTTAGTTGCTCAAAGGAAAAAGCTACTTCCATTCCTGGCTCATATGGTGGTCCTCCTCCTCCTGCTTCACAGGCAACTCTCGCTTTAAGGCCGCGGTACATAAAATGGGTAATGCTGCTATTGTTTCTGTTTTTTCTTGGCGTCTTGACCTGATTATGACTTGCTGTCCATGGTTTGGAGGCAAGCTTATGTCCATGCAGTCACAATTTGATCTTCTTCACCATCATATTCTTCATCTACGTTTGATGTTTTTCCACACCATCAAATGATTTGATAAGCATAACTTGAAAAATAATTCTTGTATTTCTATGGGCGGTAGTGATGTATTTCTATTGGAGGGTTTTCCAACGATAACAGTTATCTGGAATCATGATTTTAATACCGTTAAATTCATTTATTTACAAAGGATATTGCTTTCTTTTGAAAGGAGATATTACTAGCTACTAATATAATACTATCGTATAACATTCACACCTTCCAACTTCCAAGTTCCAAATTTCCAATGCCAAGTTCTACATTTCTAATTTACTTTTTGAAGGAACATTCATGAAGCCAAACTTAACTAATCTAGTGCATGGGATTAAATAGATATATAAGACCTAACTGTTCCACTCCGATTTGTAAATTTCAATTCAGATTAAAATATACTACCTCCGTCCCGTTAGAAATAGGTGAAAAATAAGAGAAGTAAAAACTGTGTGGTCGAGGTTTGTGCATAAGTTCAAATTAGTTGCTTTAATAGAGATTGTAAAAAAAAATTGGAACAACAAAAAAAGGAAGTTGACAAAGCCGGGAGTAGGTAGTAACTCACTAGTGAAACCGGTCCAATGAATAACCAAAACTAAATTCAATGAAAAATCACAGATAAACCATTCTATTGTTTATGTTAGGGAATAGGGCTGTTAAGGTCCTTAAGGAGTCGAGCCGAGCCCGAACACCCACAGCTCGAGTTCGGCTCGATAAGGAATTAGTGGTGTTCGGGTTCGAGCTCGAAGCTCGGCGAACTTTACAAATGAAGCTCGTGTTCGGCTCGATGGCGTTCGATGTTCGAACCGAGCGCTCGATTAGCTCGATAAATATCCCCGCATTTAAAATTTTAGGTGATGCTCATTAATAGGCTCGTGCTGGAATGATTCAACAAGTATTCGGTTCGTTAATCATCATATTTCAATTTATAAAATCATACTAATTATATTTAAATTTTGACATATACTACGTATATAAATTATATTATAATTTCAGGGTGTTCGATAGGCTCGAGTTCGAACCGAGCCGAATACTACTATGTTTGAGCTCGGTTCGATTAATTTTTCAAACTTAAAACTCAGCTCGGGTTTGAGTTTGAAAGCTCTTTAAGCTCGGCTCATTAGGTTCGAAACCAAGTTCGAACTCGAATAGTTCGATAAAAGCTCGATTCGTTAACAACCCTAGTTTATGTTTTAAAAATTAACGGAACATTAAAAAATGGCAAAACAAGAGTTTTTCTGGATTTTATTCCCCCCAAATGAACACGACCAAATCGAGACCTCTAGTCTAGTCTAGCATTAAGGCAAATGAGTCGGACTTTTGTACACTGCCAAGATAAATCCCGCCTTTTTCTTAAAAAATTGTCTGTGTATAAAAATGCAACTAGGGTGTGTACAAAAGTGTGCACCAATATTTTTTTTGAAGGCACATATCTCTCGAAAACATTCAATGTCTCTTCACACACAAAGAGAAACATACAGACATACAGACATACAGTACAGAAGTAGCATGGGATGTACAAGAAGCTTATGTAGGATAAAATTACGGCAAGCAGCTGGAGAAAAGCTATGTAGGCTATGGTGGTGGCATTTCCCTAATTGATAATCTTAAGCCCAGGTGCCTTTGAGAAGAGGAGTGATGGCGGCAGCCTCCCCGCCAAAAGCGCTGACCAAACCGGACGAACAGGGCTCGTGGTGGCCCTACATATCCTTTACTTCCGCCTTCACCTCCCGTCTCAGCTCCTCATCAATGTTATCAGAAGCCGGTATTAGCAGAAACTCACACCCCTCAGATGTGCCGGAAACACAACCCTCCTCTTCCTCTGCAGCCCTCTCCAGCCCCCACGCCCGCTTTGTTCTTCGGGGTTCTTGATCTGAATTATAAACGAAGCTTCTCTCTTTATGTTAAGCTCCTCTTGCGGGCTGCGGCTCGTTCCTCCCATCTTCCGCCGGGAATTCCAGCTTGTATACTAAATGGGTGTGCATTTTCTTCCCTCGCCGGCAGCCCTCGCTGGCCCACCGTCCGGTGACCTCTGGTCAAAGTTTAGTACTCCTCCCCCTTCAAAACCGCTCTCACGTCCTCTGTTTTTGTCGTCACCATCTCCACGAATCCTCAATGTGGACTGTGACCAGATTTCTCGCCCGACGGGTCGGGCAGTCTTCCTCCCCATGAGATTCAACCGGAGCAGCAGCAGCTTCTCGATGTTGATTTCTTGGCACCCATGTCCTCCCTCGACGTGTGATTCATCCTTCTTCTCCGATGTGAGGTCACGGGTCTGTTCGTCTTTGCCGGTGTGATCACCGAGCTCAGCTCCTTCCTTCCCGGAGGTGTGTTCTTGCTTTACTTCCACATCCCTCTTGCCGGAGTACTCTGGTCGGAGAACTATGTAGAGTCGTTGAACCTCGTCCCTGTCGTGGGCTTCTTCCTTGCCGACTTTTGGCCGGTAAAAGAAGAAAATTTCCCCACGTTCCTAACAGTGGTATGCACATATATAAAATATGAGAATAAAAAGGCTAAGTAAAATATATAGATACCTTAAAAAGGTATAATAAAATATCTGGATCATTTGGATGATAACTACAAAGTTTTGGACGTAATACAGGGTCTATAGGCAAATCATCTACATTGACCTCAATCCGAGGTTGTTTAAAAGTATGAGACCCGCTAGCTTCATTATGAATTACATCATGTCTTGGTCTTGTAATAGTAAAAAATTATAGATGGGCATTTTGTCTACAGGAAATGTAAAAATCAAAATACCACTATAAATATGAACAATACAATATGTCAAAAAATTATTGATATACTAACTGAAAAATGAAAACAATAATTTATAAATTCAAAATTAGTTATTGTAATTCCCCCTAGTTACAAATATAAAATTAATTACAAAGAAAAGTTAAACTACACTAGTTGTTTAAATAATTAACTCATGATATGTGAAATATGATAAAGTATTTGAGATTAAAGAATACAATATTAATAAGGTTTTATTGTTTTAATAATTTAGGGCTAGAGAAACTAATAAAACCTTGAGAAGTAGAGTAAATGTGAATTGCAACTTCATACATAGATAATAGATAAATAGATTGATTGTTAACAATAATAATTCGAACAATGATAAAAATAATTATTAACTACTAAGGATTTAATATTAGACAAATAAAAAACCTAAAATAAATCTAAGCACTAAGGAGTCAATCGCATCGCCAGAAACTGACAGAGAGCTAGAAGATACGTATGATGTTTTGAAGAAAGGGATGACTAGGGGTTTAAATGTGTGTAATTGAAATTTGGATTGTAAAGGCCAAGTATTAAATATCCATTTACTACCTTATGGTCCAGTCCAACATGGCAACAAAGAGAAGAAAATAAAAATTAAAAAGCCCATCTGCACGGCCCACATGCTAAAAATATAATGTGAGAAGTGCTATCAAAATATAGCCTTGTGGGGAATCAATCCCGCAACCTGTAGCCCAAAGGGGGTTTCTATTTTTTGGGCTACTACCACATAGGCTAGTAGAACCTCTTGGGATGAAGGGAGTGCTTACCCTAGTTATACTATAGGTCCGCCCCTGGTTCCTACAACAAAGCATAAAAAGGTAAGAACCAAACAGATTTGGTTGCCAATTACTCTTCTGTATATCTACTAAAATTATTGTTAAAGCATAATATATATTTTCAAACCTATTATGTGTAGTTGCCAATTACTCTTCTATATATCTACTAAAATCTTAATCTGTGAAACCTACCTAAATTTGAGACCAGAACAATCCATAACCCTAGCAAAAATTCTGGCTAGGTGAATTGTGCACAAAACAAGATACTACGGAAACCTGTGTTTTTTATTTGAGAAAATCAAGCTACAAACAATATAAACAATGTAGCAATTAAAACGAGGTCAATTAAGTAAATGAAAATGAACTAAAATCATAGGCGCGGCAATGAAAGCAGTGAGGGAGACAAGAACGAAAAGGAAAGACAGAAGCTTAATTAGAGCTAACAACATTTGAATCGAAAGGCATGAAGATGGTGTGAATCGGAAATGTAACACCGTCCCCAAATATATATTTACTTTTAAGTAAATGATGTAATAAACTTTATGGAATGAGTAATGAATTTATGAAGTTGTGAATTTTTATTATTCCTTTCGCGTGAATAGTAAATTGCACGTGGGACCCACATCGGGAGCGGGGGCCGCCCGATGTTCCGGAGATCACATAAATAATTCTTATGGGTCGATATGATATTCATATAGTGGTGGATATGTTATTTGGGCCAAAGAAAAGGCATAATGTTGATCGATCGGTCAAACTGGGCATAATTGCCAGTATTGGCAATTTAACATATAACAGCCCGAAAATGAATTTCGGAGACTTCGAAATTAATGTTTTGGAATATATATATAATATTTCAAGAGGCCATTACGATAGAGAACACGTAATATATTTTATTTGACCCGATAAAATAAAATATATTTAAAACAATCCGAAAAATACAACTTTCGGGACCGATTGTACACTTCTGGACAAAAAGGGGTGACCTCCCACATAAGTGGGGGCCAACCCACGAAATTTCCAGCTCTTGGAGGCTTGTTTGAGAGCAAATGTGGCTGAAAGCCATTGAGGAGATGGGAGAGACCACTTTGACACCTAATGGACCCATAACCTCACTCATTTGCCAAACAAAGACAAAAACACTAGCCTCCCTCCTCTCCCACTCATTGTACTCGTCCAGCACCAAGGAAAGATGGCAAAGGAGCTCTGAACCCTCACCTTCCATAGCCAACTCGAGCTCAAGTTCCAACAAGAAAAAGGGAGAAGTTTAGGAGAGGAAAATGAAAAAAAAAGTGTGGTGATTAAGGTTATGACCTTGTATTAGTTTTTCCTCTAATCTTTAACTACCATATGACTTACATAGTATATAAGGAACCCTTTGAGTAGCTCTACATATTTATAAATGTTGAAAGAAGGGTTGAGAGGTGATTCTATGTCCAAGAACGGACTTAGGAGCCAAAACGACCGGTTCGCCGGAAAATAACCTTTTAGGGGTTATTTGTATTAATATGGGTTTTATGATTATAAAACCTTGCTAGGAGCTTGATTAAGGCATTTCAAGGGCTTTCACGAAGTTGAAAGAGTCACCGGAGTTGTCTCCGGAGTTCGCCAAAAGTCGCCGGAGTTTCACCGGAGTTCAACCGAGTAGAGTAGAACTTCGTAGCGCTAATTCGAGGTGAGTGGACGGCTTAATATCTTATAACTTTTGGGTTAATTATGAGATTACCTAAATAAATGTTATACATATTCATAATGATGTTTAAAAGATATTTAAACATGTGATTAGCCAAAGTGATTAGGCTTGTATGAAATGAATTACTTGAATAGACATGGAATATGCTATGAAATTTCTATGAAATTTACATGCTTCTGAATGAAGGGCAAAAGAAGCTTAGAATGAATGTTATTAACTTAATCCATGTGGTGATTAAATTGATAAGTATAAGACTTGAAATAACGGTCAACGAAAACGTTGACCGATTGATAATGGATTAATCAATACCGGTTGGTATTAGTTAATTATAAGTCTATACAAATGCATGGCTTTGCATGGATTGAGATACATAAGCTTTATGGATTGATTTAACTATGAATGAATAAATATGATATATACTCTATCTAGATTGATAGGAGGTTGATCATAGGATTATAACTTGGTGGAGGACCCTATGACTTAAAGTCTTTAACGCTCATATTTCGGTGGAGGACCCTAGGACTAAAAGTTCTTAACACTCATATTTTGGTGGAGGAACCTAAGACTTAAAGTCTTTAACACTCATACTTTGGTGGAGGACCCTAGGACTTAAAGTCCTTAACACTCATATTTTGGTGGAGGACCCTAGGACTAAAAGTTCTTAACACTCATATTTTGGTGGAGGACCCTAGGACTTAAAGTCCTTAACACTCATACTGATGGATAGTCTACCCGGGGGGTATCTTATCCGGGGGGATATTACGGGAATAACTTAGAGAGAAGTCAGAGTAAATAGGAGGAGAGAGAGTCGATTTTATTAAATGAACTCTGCGTGGTTTACAAGGTGAATAAGGGCTGCTATTTATAGCAGCAATAAATGCGATGAGAGGACACGTGTCAGTAATCCAACGGCCGAAGGATCACATCAGCCTGGTGGCACCGGCAGTGGTACGTCAACCGCATTGAATGCGGTTGGTGGATGCGACGTGGCATTAAATGCGTTGGTTGGCTGTCCCCAAAAGGAATCTTCGATGATTGAGCTAGCTCAGCCGAAGGCTCCTTGTGTAGCCGCGGGCTCCTTGTGTGGCCGAAGGCTTCTCCGATGCCGAGGGCTCATGTTTTTCGTCGTTTTCTCCCAGTCTCTTCTTATGTCAGAGAAGGCTGTCCTGTGAGTTCTGGAGCCTTCGGCCAAGGAGGCCGAAGGCACCCCAGTGCGTATTCTGGGCCACGTTGAGGCTTGGGTCGCTGCATTTTGGGCCTGAGTCGTTCTCTGGGCTCAACGGACTTGTGTAGGAGAAGTAGGAGTCTATGGGCCGGGGGTTCCTGGGCCATATACTCCATCAGGAGTTCCTCACTCCTTTTGCCGAAAGGTACTTGAGGGAAAAGGAGTAGAAGTGTAGGTTCTTCCGGAGGCTACATCGTCTGTTTGGGTGCCTTTGTTTGAGAATTCGCCTCCTGTTGATAGCCGAAGGCTTCCCTCAGTCCCTCACATGCCGAGGGTTTTCTGAAGGAAGTATAACGCTTGTATGAATGCCGGGGCCTCTCCTCAGTCCCTCACATGTCGGGGGTTTTCTGAGGAAGGCGTAAACAATATCTGTATGTGTTGCGATGAAGGCTGTTTCATCATCGTCAGTGGCTTTGTGGGACATTTTTGATTTTAGGCCTCTACCGAAGGGTGCAATGATGCATGTACCCGAGGGCTACATGCACGTGTGATTACCGAGGGGTTTGTCCCAGTCCCCCACTCCTTTAGGCCGAAGGCAAGTTCGGGATGAAGGAGTTATGATGTGTTGGTGCAAACCCGAGGGGTGACCATATTGACAAGCTGGGGGCTCATGCTGCCGCAGGCTCGAAGGTGTTTGGTGGAATCCGTTGTCTGAGGGCTGCGGAGAGTGATAACCGGAGGCTATCATTCGAGTGTTGTCGAAGTATAGTCGTTGTAATATAGCCGTTGGAAGGGGAGTTGACGTGGCGTGTCCTCGTTGGTCGAAGGTGGGCGGGTGCCGCCCATTGGTTGAGGCGAAGGTTTGTAATGATGGGTTTTTCCAATCGAGGCCCATCTATCGAGGCCCAGAGTCTATAAATACCCCTGGGCGGAGCTCATTCCCTTGCGCGTTTTATCATTGAAGCGAAGCTCTGTCAAATTTTCTAGAGAGAGAAAGTCCCCTTTTCGATCAAACCCAAGAATTTTCCTCGATCCAAGGTCAGTTCATCCCTTGTTCTTGCTCCTTAGCGTATTTTTTGCTTCCATTTCTTTAGGTCTAGTGTTAGGGAAATCGTAGGGCCTCAGGAAGTTATTTCCTCCAACAAACCCCACGACGATCATCCTCGAGCAATGTCTTCTGGTAGCGACTCTCAGGACATTTCAAGGGAGCCCTCGGAAAAGCAGGAGAGCTACTCGGATGTGGAGTCCTCGAGTGAGCAGCCGTCGATGAACAACGACTTCGTGGTAGCTGAGGAGGTACAAAAAGTCCTTCGGGCCGAGTTGGAGGCCGAAGACTTCGAACAAGTGAATGAGGATGAGGAGCTGGCCCTCGCTCTGCAAATCGCTGAAGAGGAGGATGAAAAGGAGCGCCGCCAGGTGACAATTGCGGTCATGCCCTCTCGGGGTGCTGGTGAAGCGAGCACCTCCCGGCCTTTGGACGCTCAGCCCCTCCGGGTAGCCGAGGGGAAAAAGAGGAAGAAGCCGAAGGCCGCTCCAAAGAGAAAGCAAGCGGCCGTTGACGCCGGGCGACCCGTCGGAATTCCCGAGGGGTATTCGTACTTGGATACCACCGCTCTTGAGGTGACTACGACGGCCTCGGGTGCCGATTGCCAAGCCCTCCAGGTCCTTGTTGGACCTTCAGCCCAGGTCGTGGAGCCGGGGCCCGAAGACTTGTTATCCCATCCCCCTGAGGGGTGCTTTTCCGTGCACACGCTGTCGGTGGAGCTGGGGCTCAGATTCCCACTCCATTCCTTTGTCCTGGAGTACCTCAGATACGTGAAGCTGGCCCCCTGCCAACTCACCCCAAACAGCCATTATTATCTGGCAGGGTTCCTATCTCTGTGCCGTAGCCGGAAGGTGGAGGCTACGTTGGAGCAGTTCTTTCTCTCCTTCAATCTATGCCGAGGGGGACATTCTCACGCCGGGGGATACGCCAACCTGCAGCAGGTGCCGTCCTGGAAGCTGTTTTCTGAGACCCCCTCGTCCCATAAGGAGTGGAAGGAGAAGTTCTGCTATATCCGTCTTCCTGTCAATCCGTTTCCAGGGGCCCTGCGCGACCACTTCCGGAGGCACCCAAAGGTGGGTAGTGCGGCCCTGCAGAAGGCTGGCAAGAAACTCACGGAGAAGCCCAAGGGGTCCGATAAAGTGATTGCCATCAGGGAGGCCACCTTGTCGGAGGATCTGTATCTGCTAGGCTTTCGTCGCTATCGCCTTGCTGGGGAGGAAGATGAGAAGTACCCTCTGGTCGACCGGGGATATCAAAACGCAGAAGGTTGTTGCCGAGGGGTCTTATTTCCGGTACTTAGAATGTTTCTCCTTGCCTAACCTTGACTCTAACTTTTCTTTGCGTTTTGCAGGTAACTTCATGGACCCGAAAGCCTTTGCCAAGCTCTCCAAGCAACTGGCTAAACAGAAGAAGAAAGACGGTGGGCCCTCGACCCAGAGAGTTGTGGGTGAGTTTCCCAAGAAGCCGGAGGTGGAGAAGAAACATGAGGGTGAGGGGCCCTCGGAAACTGTTGACGGGGAAAGCTCCAAGGCTGTGGGCCTGAAAAGGAAGAACTCCGGGAAGGGAAACCAACCCCCGGAGGAGAAGAAATCAAGGGGGGGCGCTGGGCAGAAGGCGCCCTCAGTAGTAATCATCGACGAGCTCCCTTCGGGCAAGCCCTCGGACTCCCTCCCCCTAGTAGATATTGATGAGGGGGCCTGGCCACTGGAGAAGGTGCAGTTCCCCATCAAGAAGGGGACGGCTATAATGCATGGTACTCTCGATCCGAGGGAGTTCCTGAGGGGCGCCACCCCCTCGGTGGACCGGTCCACCCTTGGTAGGTTCGAGGACGAATCTCTCGAGCTGAAGGCTCTTCAGGCCTCGGTTACTGTAAGTGTCTAGAATCCTTTCACTTTTCCCCTTTTCTTTCCTTTTCAATGAATAGCTTGATACTGAGTGCCTCCCTATGTGTTTGTAGGCTAGCCTGGCCTTCGGGGAACTGGTTCGCAGGGCGGAACAACATCGCCTTGAGAGGGCCAAGTCCGCCGAGGTGACGAGGAAGCTTGTGGCCAACAATACCGAGGCCATTCGGCAGCTGGCATGTTTGGAGGAGGCCCTCCGACAGTCTGACCGAAAGCTGGAGGCCGCCAAGGAGGAAGCCCGGGCCTTGGGGAAGGCCGAAGCCGAGAAGGCTGCCGCTGACGCTGCCAGGACCGCCGCCGAGGCAGCCGAGGCCGCCAAGAGGGAGGCTGTGAGTGATGCCACGAAGAGTGCCATCGATGCTTTCAAGGCTGGGGGCTGGCGAGCTGAGAGCCACAGGGAGTGGGTGTCTTCTATCGTACCGGAGGCTGTCGAAGAATGGGTGTTAGGGCCCGGCGCGTTGTGGCTAGCCCGGAAAGGCAAGTCATTCTACGAGGGTGGTGAGTACTTTACCCAAGCGAACCTCTACCGGAAGCTCGCCCGTCACTATGGAGTCGACCCGAAGAACTTTAAGCCTGAGGCTTACGGCCTCCCCCCTCTCCAGCCGGACGTAAGGGTTCCCCTCCCCGAGGGCACAGAGAGGGTGCTTCTTGAGGACTCGGAGCTCCTCAACTGTGATGACGACGAAGACGAGGGACCAGAGGATGATGCCGCCTCGAAGCCGAATGAAGAAGTCCAAGGAGCCGACAGCTAGGAGTCCTGTCCTTAGAACTTTTTGTAATAGAATGGCTACCTCGGCTTTGGTCAAACATTGTAATCAAATATCTTCCGTATGTTGATACTCTTCCTTTATTTTTTGAATGAATGCGATATGCCTCCGGGCTTCTTCAATGAGTGGTTGCCATCGTTTCTTAGTATTAGCCTTCGCCTTTGAATGTATGCTCTCGCTTCTTTTTGTATTTGCATATGAGTGATTTTTCCTTTCTTGAATGAATGTTTGCTTTCCCGGAGGCCACAAATTTGTGGACTTAGAAAAATCTTCTAAGTGATAACTTTTGCCAACTAGCCTTCGGTTATAGTATAGGTTCGCTGGGGGCTTGTAGTTGTGGGGGCTCGTCGTTGTGGAGTTAGATACTTTCCTAAGCAAGACCTCTGTTAGGACCCTTCGGATGTGGAGCAAAATCTCAGAAAATAATCCAAGTAAATTCAAACTCCGGTAAAGAATCCTTGTAATACTTCCGGGGTGAAGTGATAGGACCGAGGGCTAAAATGAATTAGACATAGCGATTTCACTAGGTGAAATTGCATCTTGGGCCCCCGGAAATGCTGAGCCTTCGATTAATAGGGGGCCTACGGCTGTCTGCTGAAGGATTCCCAATCGTGGACTTAGTCATTTTTCCGCAAACTTTCAACAGGTGTTGTAGCGATCCTTCGAATGCGAGAATTGCTTGAGCCCCCGGTGTGTACAGTTGCCGAGGGGTTCAAGATTATGGACTTGGTGAAATTTTGAGACAGTCTCCCATAGATCTCGTGCGTAGCCCTCGGTTGATGGCCATTAGCAAAGTTGCCATAAGTGTTATTGACCCTTCGGTTGCCATAAGGTTTGACCTCTCGGTGAACCCTCCAGCTCATGGTTTGTGTAGATTTGAATTGCCTTAGGACTTCGTGTAGCTTTCGGCATGGAACATAGCTGGCTTTGATTCAGCTGAATCTCGGACTCAGCCAAATTTAGGTGAAGTTTTGCTAGTGAGCCTTCATCTTGGGCCCCCGGGGGAATTCTTGCACTTCAGGGCCTAATGTAGTGAATCCTTCGGCTATGTAGCCAGATGACTTGTTGTCGGGATATTTTCTTGCGCCTTTGTAGGAGCCTTCGGGAATAAGTACCCGAAGTGTTGAGCCTCCGGGGAGAATAGTATCCGGGGAGTTCCTTCCCCCCTACACATCTTTTTTTTTTTTTTTTTTTTTTAGGTGGTGTAGGAGAGGCATCTAGAAACTTGGTTTCTCGGAAAGGCTTGGCCTATATGGGAGGCAACGGAATAAACCGTTGGCTCCCCCTTCGGGAATGACCTTCCGATATCCCGAAGGGTTTGAGGGTCGTTTCCTCGGCCCGAGACATCGTCTGTTGCCTGCTTCCCCTTGGGAGATAGCACGGAAAGCGCCTCGGTTTTGAAAGTCGTCCCCTCAGCCCGAGACATGGTCTGTTGCCTGCTTCCCCTTGGGGGATAGCGCGGGGAGCGTTTCGTTTGTGGAAGTCGAATCCTGGGCCCGGGACATGGTCCGTTGCCTGCCTCCCCTTGGGGGATGGCGCGGAAAGCGTTCCTGGGAAGGGTTTCATTTGTGTGTGGGACACAAATAGCCGGGGGCACTTGGTACCGGCCGGAGCCGAGGGGTATTGCACCCCCGGTTTTTTTTTTTTTTTTAGGAGAGTATGTAAAAGTTTGAGAAAACACTTGGTGTCTTCAAAGAGTGATGGGGATGACCCATACGCTTGGTACTTGGTACCTAAATTGTTGTTCCCCCTCATGAGAGGGAGAGGCCTCGGGCCTATTTTGGTGAATAGATGAGGACTTGGCCACTCATTTGTAGGAGAGAAAGGGGGCCTTGGGCCGCTTGTACAATATGTAGGTGATGAAGGCTTGGCCTTTTGATTATTCTTCAAAAACAGATGGGGCCTTGGGCCATTGAAATTTACACTTGTTGAGGATGAGGGCTTGGCCGCTCATTGATAAAACTTTACCAGGTGGTGCACATTCCAATGTCTAGGAATCTCTGTCCCATTAGGACGTCTTAATTTGTATGTCCCCGGTTTGATGATGGCTGAGACAATGTAAGGGCCCTCAAACTTGGGCGCCATCTTCCCTCCTTCGGTGGGTATACTGGCCTCCCTTCGTCGGAGGACGTAGTCACCCACCTGAAATTCCCGGGAGCGGACCTTGGCGTCGATGTATCCTTTGACTTGTCTTCTATAGTTTTCGGCCCTGAGGAAAGCTTGCTCTCGGCGTTCCGAGATGAGATGAAGGTCGAGGGCCATGTTGGCGTCGTTGGCCTCGGACTCATATTGTTCCACCCTTCGGGTAGGAAGGGTAACCTCCGTGGGCGCCTTAGCCTCGAAGCCATAGCACAGGGAGAAGGGTGTCTCACCTGTTGCACGCCGAGGGGTGGTGCGGCAGGCCCATAGGACGTTATGAAGTTCTTCTACCCAGCCTCCCCCTTCGGCTTCCAGCTTCTTCTTCAACCCCTCGAGGAGGGTGCGGTTGGCGTTCTCTACTTGCCCGTTGCCCTGAGGGTAGGCAACGGAAGAGAATGTGTGCTTGATGCCCCAAGCTTCAAGAAGGGCACAGAAGGGGGCTGCCTCGAACTGAGTCCCGTTGTCGGAGATAATTTGTTGGGGGACGCCAAACCTTGTGAGAATATTTTTGAGAACAAAGTGGCGGCACCGGGCTTCAGTGATGCTGGCGAGGGGCTCGGCTTCCACCCATTTGGTGAAGTAGTCAATGGCCACGATGATATACCTATTGTTGGAGGTACCCCTTGGCAGAGGGCCTACTAGGTCAATCCCCCATCTAGAGAAGGGTATAGCGGTGCTGATGGGAGCATAATTGACCGCTGGTCTGCCGGGGGCCTTCTGAAAGTGTTGGCAAGCGGTGCACCTTCGGGCTAGATCAGCACAATCTCTAGCCATCGTGGGCCAGAAGTAGCCTTGAACTATGAGCCTTCGGGACATGGAGAAGGGTCCCTGGTGGGCCGAGCACGTGCCACTGTGCACTTCCTCCATAGCGACTTCGGCTTCATCTTGATGAAGGCACCGAAGGAGGGTGCCGTTGTAAGATCTTTTGTAAAGCCTCCCATTCTCGAGGGTGTAGCTGGGAGCCCTCAGCTTTGTTAACTTGGCGCGGGCTTCGTCCTGGGGCAGTTGCCGTGTGGTAATGAAGGCGATGATGTCGGAGATCCAATCCTCCGGCCTCAAGTTAATGTTCATGACGGGGCTCGCGTGGATGCTTGAGAGGCTGAGTTCCTCGATTCTTGCAATTTTGGAGAGGTGCTCGGGGGATTCATCCGAGAGCTTGGATAGAATGTCGGCCTCAGAGTTTTGAGCCCTCGGTATTTGGGTGAGGGAATGTGCCTCAAATACCTTGAGCAATTCTTTGGCCGCTTCCTTGTATTGCTTCATTCTTCCTTCCTTGGCCTCATATTCGCCGGAGAGTTGGCCCACGACTAGCTTGGAGTCGCACTTGACGTGGATTTGTTTGGCCTTCAGATTTGCTGCCAGCCGAAGGCCACAGAGCAGGGCCTCATACTCGGCTTCGTTGTTGGAGACTTTGAAGGAGAACCGGATGGCATAATAGGCGCGGAAGCCTTCGGGTGTGATCAGAACTACTCCCCCTCCGCATGCTTTGGCGGCCGAGGAGCCATCGGTGTAGAGGGTCCACCACTCATCGAGGGGTGCCGAGGGCTCCTCGTCAGTTGCTGACCTTGCGGTGCATTCCGTCACGAAGTCCGCCAGGGCTTGGCCCTTAATGGCAGGCCTCGGACGGATGTCTATGTTGTATTGGCTGAGGAAGATGGCCCATTTTACCATCCGGGAGGAGCTAGTGGGACTTCTCATGAGGGCGCCGAGGGGTTGGTGAGTGAGCACTTGGACCGGATGAGCTTGAAAGTAGTGGCCAAGCTTCTTGACGGTCCAAACGATGGCTAGCACCATCTTCTCGACGGGAGAATACCTGAGTTCGGCCTCCCGGAGGGTTTTGCTGACGTAGAAGATGGCATTATGGATGCCGTCTTCTTCTCGGATTAGTACTGAGCTGATAGCCGCAGGGCTAACACCGAGATATAAGTATAAAGTCTCCCCCACCTTGGGTTTGGAGAGCACTGGGGGAGAGGAGAGATACTTCTTGAGTTCGTCGAAGGCCTCTTGACACTCAGGTGTCCATTGAAAACCCGCCGTCTTCCTCATGATTTGGAAAAAGGGGAGGGCCCTCTCGGCTGACTTAGAGAGGAATCGGTTGAGGGCCGCCAGGCGACCCGTCAGCCGTTGAACTTCTTTGACGTTGCGTGGAGGCTCCATGTTGATGATGGCCTGAATCTTCTCGGGGTTGGCCTCAATACCCCTTCGGCTGACCATGTAGCCCAAGAACTTTCCTCCCTGCACGCCGAAGGTGCATTTCTTTGGATTTAGCCGGAGGTTGAATTTTTGCATGATGGCAAAAATCTCCCGGAGGTCGTCGGCGTGAGTGCTTGCCTTCTTACTCTTGACGATCATATCGTCAACGTAAGCCTCCATGGTGCGTCCTAGGACGGCTTGAAAGACCCTAGCCACCATGCGTGTGTAGGTGGCGCCTGAATTTTTGAGGCCGAAGGCCATCACAAGATAGCAGAAGATGCCTTCGGGTGTCATGAAGGCAATTTTTTCAGCGTCTTCCTCGTGCATGTAGATTTGATGGTACCCGCGGAATGCGTCGAGGAAGGACATGATTTCGCATCCCGCGGTCTCATCAACCAGCTGATCAATGTTTGGCAGTGGGAAGGGGTCCATGGGGCACGCCTTATTTAGGTCTGTGTAGTCCACGCACATGCGGAAGGTAGGAGGCTTCTGTGCGAGGACTACGTTTGCCAGCCAAGAAGGGTATTTCACCTCCTTGATGTGTTTGATGGAGAGGAGCATAGATACCTCCTTCTTTACGAACTCCCTTCTCTCGGCCGAGAGGGGTCTTCTCCGCTGCTGTATCGGTTTGGCCGAAGGGTCCACCGCCAGGCGGTGGGTGATAACCCTTCGGTCAATACCTGGCATGTCCTCCGGCCCCCACGCAAAAATAATGGAGTAGGCGCGGAGGGCTTTGGTGATGCCAGCCTTCAAGTCTTCGGGGAGCTTGGCTCCA